ATGTAATCTTCAAGTTTTTCATCCACTTCCCGAACTACCGAAATATGTGAATTTTCGTACATGTGATATAGAAATGATTTAAATACATACAATGAACATAAGGTAAACAGCATTAAAGTTTACTTTTGTTAGTACATAATCGGCGAGTTTTTTTTTTTTTAGTCTTTTTTGTTTAATCTGACCAAGTCTTTCCGTGCCATCTCAACACTTCCTAATTTTCTCTGGGTCTTTTACTGCCCCCCTGAAAGCCTCAAACGCCCACAAAGGGGCGTTATTGCCCACGTTGAGAACCTATGATGTAAACCAATTGTGTGTTCATTGTGCATGTAAACCAATTGTACTGTTCAATATGCATGTAAACCAATTGTACTGTTCATTGTGCACGTAAACAAATTATACTATTCAATGTGCATGATTGATTCGTTTTTTTTTTAAAATTACTTCTAAGTCATTCAACAGTTATGTCCCTATTATTGAAAAGCCCATCCACCATAGCAAGGTCGTATTATCACTTCGAATGGGAGAAAAAAGCTTTTAATTATCCTTGGACCAAAAACCGTATTAAAAACCAACAATGAAAACGTCAATGATTTTTTTTCTTATGCCATACCGTTTCTCCTTTCTTCAAGTATATTCAGTTTAAATTTGAAGTTATTCTGACTAGTGATTCTTTTTTAACAGCATTTTGAAAGTGGAACTTAAATTATAATCTCCCTGCATTTTGTAAGATATTAATTTGTCTTTGACATTTTAAATGGTCAAAAGCTTTAAGTCCATTATGAAAATGTATGTAGAGAAAATAATTTGTAAATTGAGTATAAATTTCATTGACATAAATCCTAATGCACAAAAAGAAAAATTCGGATAAAAAAAATTGGCAAACATTCAATTTTTCAGATGCATTTGAAAGCTTTTTAAGCTTTCAAGTCTGCTTATTTCCACTTAAGACACGTGTAAGATATGGAAGGGCTACAATACTCAACAAATAAAGAAATAAATTTCTGTAAAGAACCTCGAATTAAATGAATCGTTTAAATAAATTTACTTTTATCTTTGCAGTCTTGTGTATAACTCTAACTTTTTTGAGAATTTTTTTAGGGTTAGTAATCCTTTTAAAAGTTTCTTAAGTACCCGTTCTGAGAGAATTATTCTGAATCGTAATTATTGCATGCAAAGAATGATCAGATAAAATAATCAGATTTTTTTTAATGGAAGGCTAAAGAAGGTTTTGTAGGAGATAGTATTTTAAATATACTTCAGTGGAATAAAAAGATTGAAAATTATGTGCTTTTTTTAAGTGTAAGAAATGATAATGGTTATGCAGTCAAACTTAAGTAGATGTAGAAATAGGATATATTGGTAAGTTAAACACGTAGAATCAGCAGTAAGTAATCAATACATGCGTATCTGTTTTCTATATATTTATATGTATTGATAAAACGCATATATAGTAATTTAAATGTGCATTTTTAGGTGAGCCGAACATTTTTTTTCTGTTGTTATACCCTGTGAAAAATTGAGTTTCAACTGTTGAATAAAAAAAAGTAAAAATAAATAAAACAAAAATAAAAATTAAATAAAAAATAGTTTTGGCTCTCCCATTGCACTTAAAAATTCTAAAGAATTAAAAAAAATTTGGGGGGGAGGGGGGTTATAAAATATTATTTTTATCTAATGCCGATGCTGTAATGTTCTAAACGTGAAGCTTCGGATAGGGAGCGAGGAAAAAATTAAAGCCTATAAATTCAAAACATTTATAACCTGCACACACACAAAAAGCTCAAAAAAAAAAATTCTTTTTTCCCGTTAGTTTTGCAATATTTTCTGATTTTATTTTATTTAACTTTTGATGTTCACTTTTAACAAAAGAAACCTTTATACATTCAAAACATACTTTTATTTTGATCTTTTATTGATAAGGAAACTTTTTGAAGTTTCTTTTGGGAAAAATTCGGACATAATAGGAGAACTGAATGTCGGAGTATCCCAAGCAACCCAGGTGTTTGGGGGGGGGGGGGGTAGAAGAAGATAAAAAAGTTTTCCAAAGTTTGGATGGTTGAACCTACCGGACATGAATTCGTAAATTAGCGAATATATTTGAAAGAAAAATCAATGAGAATTTCGAGTGAAATTCTGGAGATTTACAAACTTAAACATACTGACATCGAATAAATCCAAGTACTTGGAAGATCTTACATATCCGATAATGTTGATAATGACACTGAATGTAAGCTTCCGGTTTGGACACCAATAAAAAAAAAACACCGTCGTATACGAGAATCAAACTAAAATTAACATTATTGATATCTGATCAAGGAACTGCAACGATCGCGTCATCTATTCATACAGATTCCAAAGCTTTCCTGCCTCACCCAAGCGGTGGAACGCTGTGTTAAATTTTATACAGAAGCATTCTAAAAGTATGCAGTGCTGAAGAAAGGGACAGTATCATTCAAACGACTCTCCAATGGAGTCTATTACTGAATTTAATACCCATATTTTCTCAAATATCTGACTTTTTAAATGCCATGTAACAAGAGGGCCACACATGAAAATTTTTAACAAAAAAAGAAAGAATAATTCTCTTTACATTCCTGTATCAGTTATTGTAATATGTGCAATAGTTTCGATAATATGATTTTTTTAAAATCGGGTCCATCATTTATACTTACCCTGTATTCCTTAAAACAAAAATACAAGAACCCCCTTGATTGTTACATTGCTTAACTGTGTATTTAGACACATGCTCTTTTTAAAACTTGGCCTTAATACTGTCTATCAATATCTACTTAATTCACTTTCACCACGACAAAATCTAATTTAATTTGTCCTTCTCCCCTAATCAAGGCATTATTAGCACTGCCTTCAGAATTACACAATTACGGGCTTTGATAGATGGTTGTGGTAATAAGGCCTAAAAATTATCATTGTTTGTCATTTAATGACTGATATTAGAGCTTCATCAATGACATGATACAAACAATTTAAAGCGTTTCAAATCGGTTTGTTTACCTTTTGACGATAAGCCTATTTTTTTCCGTACCTCCTCTGTCGTAAAAATCCCCCCGCTGGTTAAGTACAGATTGCCTATTGCTTGAAAATGTCGCGGAACCTGCTATTAGCTGAGCAGAAATTATATGTTTTGTCTTATTCAGGTCGGGCTACTAGCAAAGTGTAGGAAAGAAAAGAATCTGTAATTTGAAAGACGAAATAAACAATTATGGTTGTAGTGTTATAGAAGTGATCGATTTTTTTTTAAGTACAGAGTTCTATTATTGTTGTTAAACGTGTTTTAGTCGTAATTACTTGAAGACGACGTCGTTATTCTTTGGTTCACTACATTGTTGGTGTTCAATGATGAATGTTTTCATTTCTGAACTAGTTGATGTATTAATAATTGAAGATAAAAATCTTCAATTATTATTACAGGGTGGGCCAAATAAGACCTACTAATATTAAACATGGATAGATCTTGTAATAATAACTTATTTTAATTAAATTTTTTATATATTAAATACATTTTATGTAAATTATGTATGAAATATGACATCAGACAAATGTCCACCATTTTTTTCGATACAGAGATTGGCACTTTTTAACGCGTTTTCCATCACACCACATAATGTTTCTGGTGGAAGGTTCAGTATTTCTTCTCGAATATTTTGCTTCAACTGTCTAATAGTCTCTGGTTTATTAACATACACTTTGTCTTTTAAATATTCCCATAAAAAAAAGTCGTGCGCAGCTGAATCTAGCGATCGAGAAGGCCAAGGGAAATCCAATTTTTTTTAAAAATCAGATGTTCGATAAAAATTTCACACTTGCGGTAGCAGTGTTTGCACAATTTGAATTTTGTATGGGTGCATCTTAAGATCCAAATTTAAAATTCTACCCTACGTCGTTCTGGAAATGCCCAATTGGCTGGAACGACGGCGAGTTGAGACAGCTGGATCATCTGCACCTCTCTGCCGTACAGTTTTTACGTTGTTTTCTTTCGAATATTTCAATGGGCACCTCTTCCAGGACGGTCGGCCACTGAATCCAGTTCTTCCAAACGACTGACCAAACTCATAATCATGAAGGCCGTGGGAGCTGATCTTGAATTAAAATATTTCCTATATTTATGATGCGTTATAATAATTGATCGTTGACAAGAATAGAAATACTCGATAATTTTAACGCATTGTTTTGTACTGTATGATTCCATAATAAATTTTCAAGGATTCAATTATAACCTACAAAAAGAAAAAAAACTAATTATATCAAAAAATAAAAAAGTTATTTGTGTTTAACATTGGTAGATCATTTGGCTTCCCCTATATGTAGAAGAGAGAGTACATTTGGATTACGATTTGTGATCTTTGCTGAAAACTTTGAGATATTGTTGGATCAGAACTAAGAAAATACATTCTAATGGTTTTATTATGCTCTTTATTTGTCTGGAATAAAATGTTAGCAAATAAATAAATACATATGATAAATTTTCATTTGACTCAAGGCATTTAGCTGGAAGAATATTGTGTCTGGTTGCAGTCATTGAAAGGAGGAGACTACTTGGTGTATAAAAATCCATATTTTATTGACGGTTACAAACATAAAAATACAACACGAGCAACAAAAACGCGAACAACCAATACAAGAATTAAAAGTGTTTTTCTTTCGTTCCGGAGATCTCAACTCTTAAGTTTTGGTTATTTCCCGTTAGACTGGTGTAAAGTACAGAAATTTAGTGTTCATTTTATGTTAATTAACATTAAATTCCTGTACTTACGTTTATTTAATATTAAGAGAATTATTATTGTTATTTTCGTGCGTTTTATACTGGGATATATACGAAAGAAGAGAGGTAGATGAACAGAGACATACAATACAATAACAGAATATACACTTTATTGCAAACCATGATCCCAGCATAGAGCAGAAGGAGTGCTCTGCTTTCCATTCGAGACGGGAATCCATTTCCGGTGAAAATCCGACTTCTTTTCCTGAAGATACATCCAATCCTTATTCGGGATTCGAACCCGAGCCCACTCTGTTACAAGCCGAGTATCATAACCGCTAGGCATTGCAAAGGGATACCGAATACCAGATTTTGAGTTATTACAGATCTTGAACAAAAATTAGAATTAACGATAGTTAAAAATTTTCAACAAGCCAAAATACAGTACAGAAATTAGCTATATCCAAAACCATCCGACGAGAAATTTGAAAAGGTTAAGGATTTAGAGGTAAATACTTGGAAAAGGTATATCGCGCATTCTTAAGAGTACAACCAACTAGCGAAGATGTCTAAAGAGCGTTTTCGACAGCTCTTAATTTTTGCACAAAATTACATTCCAGGCTTAATGACAGTACAATTGATGAATTATGTTTTTAAGATCACATTTGAAAACTTTGTAATAGTATCACAGACTGAATAGTGACATTTTCACTTTTTTTGTGTGTGTGATTTGAATAAATAAAATGTTCCTTTACTTTTTTGTGTTTTTTTTTATATAATGTTATAATTTATAAGTTACAAATTATTTGTTGTGATATTTACACTCGCAAAGAAAACTAGCAAATAAAACAAAGAAACATCTGTGTTTTCTTTCTTTTTTCTAAAATTTCTACTACCGGTATTAAAACCGATATCCCGGTATTAAGATCTAAAAAATACCGAATACCGGTAGTGAATTTTTGGGTCCGATATTGCAATCCCTAATAACCACCATACTGGTTGGGAGGGTAAGTGAGTTATTACACATATTCAAATGAATTGACAAAGAAATTCTTAGGAACATTTTAATGACATCTATAAAATATTTAGAAATGTAAAAAGCACACACAGAGGTAAATTGATGAAAATCTCTAATTTTCAAGATTTATCAATGCCTTACTATTTTAAATTTGATCTTTCACCATTATTTTCAGATCTGCTTTCAATTTATGTTTTTATACCAAAATACCAATATTATTTAGATATTTCAGTACTCTACGAAAACTCCATTACACGTCCTCTTTCTCTCACTCTTTGAACTGAATTTTACTTTTCCACTCATATAGACAACACGGGAAGAGGCTGTCATATTAAGGTTCATCTGCTTCCAAAATTACTGATGCTTCCGTCTGAGGGAGAATTATTGGGAAAGTAATTTAGATCCTTGAACTCGCCGTTGAGGGCTGAAGTTGAAAGATGCGATCTAATAAACTTTATATCCCAGAAGAGGAAATTAACACTTGAGAGTGCAGAAATCCATCCAAATGCAAATATTTACGTTAATCGATTCGCTGATGGGGCGCCCCTCTGTTTCCTTTCTATTAAATTGGGGGACAAACCAAACAAGGCAGAAATGAGTTTGTAAGTGGGTGGGTTCTTGTGAGGGTGAGTGTGAATCTTTTTCAAAATATGGAAATGGTTACGGGCAGAGTTAATTTGGAATGAGGATGGATGTTTTGGAGAGGTTGGGATAAGAATAATTATGGGTATCTGAAAATTTGTTAACTTTCAGATGATACTTTGCTCTCACCGATGATTTGTAGATGATGTTCTATAATTTAAATGCATGATTATTAAATCTTTTTTTTAAAAAAATATTTAAGTTTTTAAAAATAAACCGTGAGGATTCTTAATTATGTTTTGATACTTTAAAATTATTTATTTAAATATTTGTTAAAACAATTTTTGTTTGCCTAATACAGCCTCAACTCGGGTGACCACGGTAGTCTAGTGCAGTGATGCCCAACCTTTTTACTGCCGTGGATCGGTCAACATTTGATAATTTTAACACGGCCCGTTGAGGGGGAGGGGAGAGAAGTAGATTGTGTGGGGGTTGTGTGTTTGGCACCCCTCTATCACCGTCTTGCCTACCTAAAGGTGTGGGCGGAAACAAAGCATCACCAACAACTTCCATAATAACTATTATTTTATTTCTCTTCAAACACACTTAATCAATCACAAGGGAAACTACAAAAGGAAACCCTAGGAGTGATATATATAGTCAGCAACCTAATCTCATGAATAACTCTAAGTAAACACGACTAAGTGAACTAGACAAAGAGAACAAGCGCTACTGATCCGATAACTAAATCTAATTCAATCTATCTTAGATGCTCAATCTAATAATTAAATATCTTAGCAACTACTTCCTTAACTCGTGCTATATTTGTGAAATACTCAATGGAATATTTTCACCTTCGTATTACCGCAACAGCTCTCCGGCTCCTTCTAACTTACATCTACAAAACATAGACTTTATAAAGTCAGACTAATTTATATATCAGGGTTTCTTCTTGAGAGGCTGTGAGTTAACGCGAATGCTTGCCCCAAAGTTTCCCCAAGAGGATTAGTAGAATAATGACGCGTATAGATCCGTCACAATTGTTTATATTTTAGATTGTTTTGATTTAACAATTTTAGTTTAACTCTATTTCACCAAGCCTTCAGTATAAAATACAACCACACTAAAAAATAGCATAAAGGGATTTAACATGGAATAGGGCCTGGATTCGAATCCCGGAGAAGGCATGGATGTTTGTAATTGTATAGTGCCTTCGCGGCATGGGGGTACTCTAAATAGACGCCTAGCTGCAAGCCCTCACGTGATTTGGGTGGAAGGGGAAGAGAGGTGGGAGGCTCCTGACCACCCCCACAGTGTTCTCCCTCAAAATTGGGGTGGAACAACAGTGCAAAATCGTACTGTCACCTGCATGGTGCTCAAAGCTAACGACAAGCATAAAAATCTAGCCCTTAGCCACGATGAATTTCGTGGACTGGTATCTGATGTTACTATCGATCAGTTGGCATAAATAACAACAAAAATATGGAATAAAAAGAGATTTTCATAAAAAGTCGCGCATACCCGAGAGAAATTCACCACAGTAAATAAAATGAAGATAATTTAATGTTCCTTGTGCGGCCCGGTTCGATTTGATCCCCTGACCACTGGACTAGTGGTTGTGGTCGCGTACTCGTGGCCAGCGTATCATTAGTTCGAGACTAGTGCCTCTGAAGATCCTCCGTGTAGAGGGGCTGATACACACTAAATCTCTCATGTTTCATAGTCCTCTCTTAAGCGTGGTGTGGAAGTACGGAAAGGGGGTGCCAGCTCAGGCAATGGAAAATTCCAAGTGTAAAATCGATTTCTATTTGGCCATTTAACATTGTGATTCTGTCATATGTATATACATATTTATATTAATTGTAACTATTTAACAAAAAGTAACTAAAATAAAAATTTTATGTTGGCCTAAGTAGGAATTGAATTTTTTTTTATATTAGTTGTTAGTTCTAAACATGCATCAATTTAATTAAGTATTTCTCATTCTCTCTCTCTCTCACTTTTTTGTGCTCTATATTTATACTCCTTGTACTTTATATTTAAACTCCTTGAAAAAGTATTATGAAAGAAAAATATAATTTCTGTAAAGCTTTGCAGTCTAAAAATAATAATGAAAACACTGAAAAGAAAAGAAATAAATACTAATGTGTTTAAACGCATCTATGAAACTTATTTGTAACAAGTAATATAAAAAAAAAATTATGTCAATTCCTACTTAGGTCAACAAAGAAACATTTTATTTTAGTTACTTTTTATCAAACAGTTACAATTAATATAAATATGTATATACATATGACAGAATTAGAATATTAAGTGACAAAATAAAAAGCGATTTTCCTTTTTATATATGGTTTTTGACTATTTTTTGTTTGTTTGTTACCATTTATTCATTCATTAAATTTAATTATTCTTATAAAATATTATAGTAAGAAAGAAATCACATTCTTCGAAATAATGCCTTTCAAGGTGGGATTCGAATCCACGACCTTTGAATTAGAAGTCCAGCGCGCTATCCATTGCGCTACAGGGACACGACGAACAATTTTTCTTTCTATATATGCTGTTGGATTATTACTTTTGTGTTTGTTACTATTGATTCATTTTTTAAATTTAATTAATGAATTAATATTTGAAAAAAAAGTGTCATTTACTACAAGTTTTAAAAAATGTATTTGAACTTGAATAGATGAATAGAAAATATTTTATAAACGATTGAAAAATTTGAACAAGATATATAAATAAATACATATATATATTTATATATATATATCAGGGGGAGTGTGAACGAATGGTAGGAATTGAAAAATATTGACAGAAATGATTGCAGCAGTTTAGTTTTAACTTTAATGATACAGTTTATTTCCGAAAAATATATGTTTAATATTTTCTATTTTTCTTTAAGATGTATTATACAAACTCTAATCATTGCAAAATTATTTTAAGAGTTAATTAAATTTTTTCTTCCTTATCTCAGAATGTGAAACTATAATATTCTGTTGAGAACTGTTTTCAAACTCAAATTTACACATTTTTTATTAAAATAATCTTCTATAATTATTCCTACCTAACATTTCCATTAAAATAGTTAGCTGATTTTTTTTCTCTCATGTTTTCGTTCGCTTGAATTATCAAATCCATTAACGCGATGGATTTTTGAATTTATTCAAGTGTGGAATTTTCGCTCTAGTTATTTTAAATTTAAGATGATACATTATGATTCAGAATAATTCTTTTAAAATTTTTTGCCACCGGAATATCATACCTAGATTAATTATTTAAAAGAAATTATTAATTGAAACTTTGGTAATTTTTCTTTTCTTTTTCGAAATGGAAAAATTTATGCAAGTGGAAGAAGATGTGTATTTTAACACAAGCATAACACGAAGTTTACTTGTGTTTTATTTGAGTTTGTATTTTATTATAATTTTTCTTTTTTCGTGCACCTATTTTCAAAGATGATCACTGTAAATTGTGGCTGTAGTAATTTTAAAGTTGATAAATAATTAATTCTTCTCATTAAGGTTGTTTTTCTTTTACGTTTTATTTCGTAAAAGTTTTTTTGAGTTTTCATTTAATCTTAGAAATATTAATTTTAAATTCACTTTTCCTGTTAAAATATTTTGCTGTATAGAAAATAAGGATTTTACTTTAGAGACCGTAGAGAAAAATATAAACGTTGATTTAATTTATGAATTACTTTTAGTTCATTTACGGTTATTGGTATTAATTAGTTATAATCTAGTGTGATTTTGCAGT